ATAATTAAAATAGTTTTCTCTTATTTACTTTGGGTCTCGTTTAAAAAAACCTTCTTGCTACAGTAAGCCAATGCTGACCTCTAGTGGTCAAACTGCAGTATTGCAGTGAGCCAACAGTCAATCTGCAGCTATAACTTGAGCATTTGCATTCTCTGTTCTGATGTAGAACATCTTCTTGTTGCTGCGGTGGCTCCGTGGAAATGCACCGTTAAAGTCAGGATTAAACTGGATTTTCATTTCCACAGAACCACACAGGGCATAGAGGACTTAATGCCATTGTGGGGTTTTAACAAGATTTTACCTAATGTTTCAGATGATGGAGAACTACAATATAACAAGCTCCTTATTTAAATGATTTTAGCTTTTATGAAAATCATTTTGGCATAATTTGATTTTGTACCTAAATTGTTGTTAAAAATTCAAAATCTTATTACTATTCTTGTTTCTATTCTTCTTATTATTACTATTAATATTATGATTGATGCTAGTGGTACTTAATTTTGTGTCAATATAAATTTCTAGAAAATAGTGTTAGAACTTTACTCTATTTACCTAATGTATATATATTTATAAAAAGCTTTGACAACCAATCAACATTGATAAATTTATTTTATATGACGGTTAAAAATAATTTGATGTAAAAAAAAAAATGTATGCCCCTTTTTTAGGAGCCATTTTCGGATAAATGTGAGATATAACATAAGATTAAATTATTTTAAAATCGACCAAGGACGTTATTTTGCTAAGGCTAACAATTAGGGGCCGGGATGTTGGAGCCTATTAAGAATTAGATTCATTTATTTTTTGCAAAATTATTAATGTTAAAGATCTAAGGTTGTGTGAATGGTGGAACTATTGTTTATTTGTTTAGTATTGGTTTGGCTTTGACCCTCCTCCTTGTCAGTCCGCCTCCTGCTGAGGTTAACAAGTAGAAGCAGCTGATGAGGTGGATCTGATTGTTTGTTTGAAGGAGTGAGGAGTGCAACAGTTTTTTCACACACATCACTTTAATTTATATTTGAATTTTTTGTAAGTCAACTCCGAGAATATTTCTGTTATTTTTTATAAGTAAAGAAAACAACCCTTTTTTGAAACAAGAAAATTCTCCACGAGTGCTTTTTGTTTTGTGAGTCGAAAAACCTCCTCCTAAGACTACTATGGCAATTTTTGATTTTTTTGGAAACTATTTTGATGCAAGAGTAGCCTTAACAGACCCCTAAAGATGAAGCGGGGACCCCCTAATTATATATATTGTATGAAATTGTATAATATCAAACTGGTCCTACAGTCAGTCTATTACAGATGGTGTCATGTAACAAAGTAATTTGGCCCTGGGATTATTAAAATATTTCTGATTCTGATTCCTGGTTGATGGGACAGGTGATGTGAATGAATTGGTGCCCCGCTTGAAAGAGCTCCTGTGTGTCGCTGAATGTGTGCATTGATAACTGAAAGACATCTTCTGCCTCCATTTATCTCTTTACTTCAGAGTGTTGAATTCATGTTAATGTGTATTTACACAAATATATATATATATATATATATTAAAAAAAAGTGTAATCAACCAACATTTTCGCGACCCCCATGCAGTACTTCCGAGGACCCCCTAGGGGTCGCGGACCCCCTGTTGAAGACCTCCGGTACAGCTGAGAAAATTTCAGCACCAAGGACAGCTGTCCAGCAGAGACTCGCGTGAGGAGTGAGGGTGGGTGTGTGCAAAGGGGGAGTGTGCCGTGAGAGAGGGAGATATTTTCAGAGGGGACAATCAAGGAGAGCATTTGTTGGGATTAGGCCCGTGCTTTAGGTTGGAGTGGATTACCCCGGGCTGCTCTGGAAATGAGCCGCGCTTTATCGCCTGATGAGCTTCTCGGCTTCTCCGTCCGCTCCAACTGATCACGGCACCTGAGGCGCAGCCTGACTCTTCCCCTTCGCAATCACCGCCGAGGCTTCTGCCCTCTAGCTGCATGGAAACATGACCGACGTCCCCCAAATCGTTAAAATCGGGATTTCCCTGAAGATACTTCCAAATAACGGCGCGGTGTTCTTCAAGTCGGACGGCGCTCGGTTCGGACAGACGCGGACCATCAAGCTGCTGACAGGATCCAAGTACAAGATCGAAGTGGTGGTGAAACCAGGAGCAGTTCAGGCCACGTAGGTATTCACTGGATCTTCCTGATCAAAAAGGGCAAATCATGGGATGCAAAACCAACAGGTATCATATTTCACAATTGGTTTTCTTTTTTATAGAGCGAATATTGTGAGCTCGGTGCACGCATTCTGATTAATAATGTTCCCAAATCATATAACTGTCTTTTTTGGGGGATATTTCCCCACAAAAACGCATAAATTCATTCTGCTATATCTTCTGGTTTACAAGACAACAGATGCACCAAAACTGTGGATTTTAATTGAAAAAAATAAATGTAAAAATAAAATAAATGCAATTTTTAGTCAAATAAAAAAAAAATATTAATATATAATAATTCTTGATTGTTATTCTAGAAGATGAAAGTAAATGTTGATCAGGTATTTTACTATAGAAGTTGTTATTTTTTTGGTCCAACATTTTGACAAGTTCATCAAGGCAAGTTTAAAGCTGACTTTACATGCAGCACCTGAACGCAACACAAACAGGTTCCACGTCAAATCCACCAAGGATTACTCCAGGATGCAGGCCTTTGTATGTTGTGTCAACGGTCTCTAGTGGTTTGGACTGGTTATGTAATGAGCGCAGCTGTACCGCCATGTCTGCAAATAAGGATTAGAGACGGATGTTTGGCAGTAATTCTGTAAAACATGCTCCTCAGTAAGAACGTCTGAATGTAGGTCACACATGATGCAGAAGAGCTGTTCAGCTGAATGTGGGGCATGGAGCACAGCTGGGAACATGCAGCTGTCCTTTATGCAAATCAATCCCAATTTTTTTTTTCCCTTTCCCACTTTTATTGGATACAGTCCAAATCACGAACTACAATATTCAGTAGGAGTTTTAGATTATACGTTGTAATAAAAATATCAAATAAATAACTTTTTTCTTTAATTCATAGTAGAGCTGCAGGATATATTGGATTTAAAATCAGCATCGGAAAATTTGGGGCATTTTTTAAGCATATTGGTATGATCATTAAAAATGTACCCATATTAAAAATCAATATCTGTATTTGCTGGTTTTCATTTAGAAGGGAGGGTGGAGTGGATTGGTCATGTGGTATTTATTTGGTCATGTGACATTTATTGGGGATGCTCAGCGGAGCAGTGGGTTTGCACTGCTGCCGTGCAGCTAGAAGGTTCCAAGTTAAATTCCCGGCCCCAGGTCTTTCTGCATAGAGTTTGCATGTTCTCCCTGAGCATGTGTGGGTTCTCTCCAGGTACCCCGGCTTCCTCCCACAGTTAAAAAATATGACTGTTATGTTAATTGGCTTCTCTAAATTCTCCTTAGGTGTGAGTGTGTGCATGATTGGTTGTTTGTTCTGTTTCTCAATGTGTTGCCATGTGATGGACCTGGGGATTGGTCCAGAGTGTACCCTGCCCCTCGCCCGTAGGCAGCTTACCATCGCAACCCCGCTTGGGATAAGCGTGACAGAAAATGGATGGACATTTAACCTGATGAAGCTAAGGTGTTGAAGGTGTTTAACTGAAGCATGTCAGTGCTGTGTTGGTCATTCATATGATATACGTTATGGGTAAAATCGGCTATAATAGCATTATTAATATAGAATTGTAGATATCGGCCCAAATGATGATATCAGTTCATCCCTAAGTCATAGTGTGACAATATGATGATGACTGAATTCAGTAAACTCAGTTCCATCTTGAGGATTCATATTTTGCTTGAGCCATTTGACACAGATAAAATTTTCAAACCATGCACTAAAAGGTGTAATTGTTTATCAAAAGGTGGTTTTGCAAACTATTTGCCCAGTGAGGGTGAATAAAAAAACAAAACAAAAACTAATTCATCACTAAACTTTAAAATAATACTATAATAATGTTGTTTAGTAACAGGAAATAATTAGTTTTGGTAAAGTTAGTTTGAATACAAGACACTGTGTACACTGTCTACCGTATGTGTTTGAGTTTATTAATATGAGTGTGTTTTGTGGTGTTTCTGGCTGCAGTTCAATGAGTGTGGGTGGAGTGACCTTTCCCTTGGAGCAACAGTCCAAAGACCCCCAGTCTGTGGTCTACACTGGTCAGTACGACACCGAGGGGGTTGCACACACCAAGAGTGGAGAAAGGCAACCAGTTCAAATCAGTATACAGGTATGGGTGTAATACATATATGGAGGGTATTTAAATCTATAATAGAGCATGAATTCATCAAATTAGATGTGGATTATCAATATCCCACTCTCATATAGAACGGAATATCTATTTGTATATTTAAACTTGAAGAACGTTGTTTTCTGCAAATATCTAACAACAGCTCTTAAATATTTATTGATGTGTGAGTTCACAGGTACATGTTGGGATATAACAGCTTGATTTTAATACTGAATATTAATATATTCCTAATAATCTAAAATATAAGTAAAAATAAAAATAGTAATATTATAAATGCTTTGTAAAAGTATTATTAATATTAGCAAAGAGAAACTTCTAAACTAATAATAGTACATTCAAGGCATAGTAATCTAATATATGCATGTTTTATTTCTATCTTTCAAACAAAAATACTAGTTATTAGGTTTAAATACTGTTGTAGCAGACAATATGGCTGAAGCTAGTGACACTTAAAGTCATATTTAAGTCTTTTTGATTCATTTTTAGCTCTTATTAAATAATCATTTTCTTGTTTTCTGTTGTTACATGCTAAATAGAAAAGTAAAATATTAGGCATTGTGTCATTCCTTATCTAGTGTGGTCACATCTATATTGGTCTTTTTTTGTTAGTTTTTTTTCGAGGCAATCCGATGAATTATTGGGTCCCTTACAAATGTATTCTGTTTTTGCTTCTTTAGGCAGGCTTAAAGGTTTCAAATCATGAGACAGATTTTAATGATAGATAAAGTTAACTTCAGCAGATGGAAAATGCAGCTTTTGAAATGATTCATTTCATTTAAAGTTAAAGGAATCCTGTTGTATATGTACAAATATACTACTCAAAATAATAAGGAAAACATGTAAACAACACAATATAAATTTCATTAAATTAAACTTATGTGATATCAAACTAGTTTGCAGTCAATATCACATGCTGTTATGCAAACTGGGGGATTGTTGGCCTAGTGGGTTAGAGGAGTGTGCTTGTGCTCTGAGAAGGTTGAAAGACCTACAGCCTCCACTGTTGGTCTCTGAGCTAGACCCTTAACCCCACACTGCTTCCTAAGCGCCACACAATGGCTGCCCACTGCTCCCCAAGGGGATGGGTTAAATGCAGAGAGGGAATTTCCCCACTGTGGGACAATAAAGGGATTTACATTACACAAATGGAATAGAAAACAGGTGGAAAGTATTAGCAAGAAACACTCAATGAAGGAATTGTTCTGCAGCTGGGGAACAGAGACCACCTCTCAGTACCTATGCTTTCTGACTATTTTGGTCACTATTGAATGTTGGTGGAGCTTTCACACGTGTGTTGTCCTGAGACGGACTCTACAACCTGCACAAGTGGCTCAGGTAGGGCAGCTCATCCAGGATGGCCCATCAGTGTCAGCTCTGGCAAGAAGGTTTGCTGTGTCTGTCAGTCTAGTGTCCAGAGGTTGGAGGTGCTGCCGGCAGACAGGCCAGCATAGGCAGGCAACAACCCAGCAGCAGGACCACTACCTCTGCCTTTGTGCAAGGAGAAACAGTGGGAGCTCTGCCAGAGCCCATCAAAATGACCTCCAGCAGACCACAAATGTACATATATCTTCACAAACAGTTAGAGATCAATTCCATGAGGATGATATTAACTGTTTGGCAGTAGGTCAGTAATTTCTTTGGAGGGCTGCACACCCCTCCATGTGCTCACCAGCGGTAGCATGACTGCCATTAGGTACTCAGATGAGATCCTCAAAGTTGGATCAGTCTCTAGTGTGTTTTTACACTTAAATTTTGTGTGTGATTCCAAATCAAGGGCTCTATTGGTTAATACATGTAAATTTGATTTCCATTGATGCAGTTTGTGTAACTTATTCAATGAGTATATTTCATTTATTCAGATTTGGATGTGTTATTTGAGTGTTCCCTTTATTTTTTTGAGCAGTAGTCCCCACGCTGCTAAAACCTAAATTTACAGTTTTTTTTGGACAGACAGTTAAGTTCACTTATGATATCTACACCTGTGGAATCAAAATATAACCCACCTGGCAGCATGAAGTGGGCTGTAGGCTTAAAAAAAACAAACAAGTTTGCACCAATCAAAAGAGATTCAAGGACAATTTAGAAACAGGGCCACTGATTCATTAGGAAATTAGTGAGAATCATTATCTAGAGAAAACACAGAACAAAGCCTCCATTAGTTCAAAACAACATATAGGATGTGAAATGGCCCCCATATGCCTACTGTTAGGTATGGTAGAGGATCTGTGATGCTGTGGAACTCTTCCATCAGGATTCTTTAGAATCCCTGAGCATTATGAGTAAAAGCCTTTTAGAAAAATAGAAATTGGAATTTTGTTGGGTTTCAGCACAGAATAGTGATTCATCAATATGATTAGGGCAGAATTTATTATTTATATTCCCCTAAGCAGGAGAGGAAGGTATGGGAGGTTGTAGAATGAAAAGATTTTTACACATCTTTACTAGGTGTGATCATAATTATCATGGTTCTGTGTATTAACCTAAATAAAGTGGATCAGTTGTGTGGTGTGAGGAAAATAAGAGTTTAGTACAAGCTTGCCTCTTTTTATTTTGGTGGAAACATTTGTGTAAATGCAAAATAATGCACCATGCGGTTTGTGGTAGCGCAAGATTATGATCAATATGTTTCTATCTGTAAGCACTTTAAATCATCCAATACTCTGTGTTTTTAATCATAAGTCATCATGGCAGCTTATGCATGAATCTCTAACCATACTCCTGCTTCAGTTTGCAGAGGTGGGATCGTTTGAAACCGTATGGCAGGTAAAGTTCTACAACTACAACAAGAGGGAGCACTGCCAGTGGGGCAACAGCTTCAACAGCATCGAGTACGAATGCAAACCTAACGACACGCGCACGCTCATGTGGATCAACAAGGAAATGTTTGTTTGATGGCCGGAAGCGGGAGGAAAGATGTTGGGGGTGTGTCTGTCAACATGCTCTCCCTCCTTCATCCGTCTGTCAGTGTCAGAAAAGACGAAGCTCTTTGCAGTGGAAACATACCCATCCTCTTCTTTTCTGTGAGAAATTGCATATGTTGCCATGAAAATACAAATGTGCGTGAAGATGATTCTTCTGTCTCTTTTTGTGTTCCAGAACATTGGAAATAACAGTTAATTGTTAAAAACAAAATCCATATATATGTGTGCAGTAACGTAACTGTGTTAGTTCACCTGTTTTTACATGGAGTATGAGTGTTTGTTTTACAGATGGTGCTACAGATGTGTTTATCCGTATGTGTGTGTTTTTAAACTACATGCAGTACTGCAGAAATGTCTTAAGATACATTATTTATTTATTTTGATTTTTTTTTTTGTTTTAAGCTGTTTAGCACTGACCAGAATTCAAAGAAATTCACCAAAACCAATGATTTGGTGTTGTCTACCTTTAACAGACAACCTATGCTGCAAAAACTATCTAAAAAAAAAAAGAGTTAACATTTAAAATAAATGTATTTACGCTCAATTTGAGAGAGTAAATAAGATGATCTGCCAATAAATTGAGTATTTTCCCTTTAAAATAAGTTATTTAGATATTATGCACTTGAAATGTAAATATTTTAAATTTAAATTGTCTTATTCCATTGGCAAAGAGTCTCCCCTGCTCAGTTCAAGAAAAAATGCGTTTAAAGTTGATTTATTTAGTTTCAGGTTTGGTGGAAGTTAGTTGAGGACCCAAATGCAAAGATGAGGATGCAGAGATGAGTTTTCCTGATTTAATTAAGGTTCCAAAGGCAGCAGAGGGAAAACAAGAAATACGTAAGAACTCAAATACAACCGAAAATAACTAGAATAACACAAAATGGAAATAAAACCAATGAAAACTCAAAGAGAAAACTTAAACAGAACTAAAACCATGACACTAAGATTTCAACTTTTTTTTCTACAGTGTAGCGTAAATTATTTGTAAACTAGACCATTTGTTGCTAGCATTCTATTAAAATAAAATATTTTTAACATATTTTAATTAGCTAAATCTGAGCATAATATTAAATATATGATTACAGTATGAAGTCATAGAACTTAAGTACCGACAAGGTGATTCCAAAAGATGTATTAATGCGGTGCTAGCATTTTGTAAGAAAATAAAAAGATAAAGAAAAAGAGGAAGAAATAATTGGAAATTGTTACTTTATCAAAACCCCTTGTAAAGTTCACAAAATAAAATGTGGCTGCTTTGAATCAATGCTGTTAAGGGCTGGGAGCTAAAAAAATTTCTATAACATAAACCTGCAGGGATTTAGAGGAAATGCCATAAAATGATTGGTGTGTTCAGAAAGTTCCTTGGTAGCATTTCACCAACAGATTAGGAGATTTTGTCCCCATATACTGAAGGAAACCTTTAGTGTGGAGCTGAGATACATTTTTCTTACTGGGCTTTTAAGTAAATAGAGGGACTCTATTTTTTAGCCTCTATTTCTGGAAAGCTTACTTTAGGAGGTTACAAAAGGACACCCCCATCTACTGTCCATTCAATTGTACACTGGCTGTTGGGTTAATGGGAAATTGGTTGGCTAATCCAAATGTGTGGAATAGAGACCAAGGATCTCTGGAGGATTAATTGTGTCTCCCATGTGGGGCTGCAACTATAGATTATTTTGGAAATTGATTAATCAGTCGATTATTTTTTCAATTAATAATCAGATAGCCAAAGTTTCCTTAAAAAAGATTCTTTATTAAATTAAACCAGGTGAAACAAAAAATGTTCCACTTAAGGAGTTCTACTGTAGATAGAGCATATTGACTAAAGAAAAACTTTTTTATTCTTAAATGCAAAATGTTTTATGTATTTTTTACAATATTGATATAATTACTGCTCTAAGTGGGTTGCTCTGTCAACTAAAGGCATGTTTTAGAGTCTCTATACTCCAAATAACAATTAACCGATTACTGAATTAGTTGAAGATTATTTCAATAATTAATTAATTGCGATGAATTGTTTCAGCCCTACTCTCAAGGTATGTAGTGGGTCATGATGGGTTAGGATAACTCAAAAAAAACAAGAGTTGATCATGTTTCCAGTTATGGTCGGATTAAGCCAGAGCTGCCCTTCTACTGGTTCTTGAGTTCATGGACACAATGTTCATGCATAAAAAAGACGTGTGGTTTGCAAACTTGGGGGAAATATCTATTCTATCTGAATATGGTTCTCCTTGTGTCCTTAAAACATAACGTTTAGCATTCACTGCAGCAATCCGGAACATAGGATAGGGTCAGTTCCCCTATGGTTGAAGCCATGGCTCCTCTTTTTTTCCTCTACATTGCTGTCTTCAGGGCCCACTGCTCTTGCAAACCTGAATCAAAGGATTGGATTACATCCTCTCTTCTCCAGAAGCCTGTTATCCACCCATTACAATATATATCCATAATATTTTACTCAGGAATGTGGCATAAGGGAAAAAACATGCAAGACAGCTGTTGTGAGGACCAGGTGTGCAGAACACTGCTAGGCCAGGGTTCTCCCAGGATTCTCCCAAACCACGGTTTGGAGAATAATATTGCTGGAGAGATCAAGGTCTGGGTTCTCAAGCTGAACCAGGTTCACCCTGTTCTTATATAAGTGGAAGACAATAGACAGATATATGGACACGTGTACATTTTTTGTTGTTTGGTTTTTGTTATTGCTGCCCTATGGACCAAAGTCTAATTAATCAGTTATAACATATGTTATGTGTCACTATATGAATGTGAAATGAGGTTCTAAACGTATGTGTTCTAGCTTAATGTGCAGATGTGTTCTTGTCTACAGCGTGTTTGTCCTCTCTACCTCTCCTGAAAATACTTGGCTTTGTTTCTGTGACAAAGAAAAATAAAATATGTTCTTGGAATTTTCCAACTTTAAATAAACTTATTTATTGACTGTTTTTCTTTTTATATTTCTTGTGATATTGTAAAAAACAAACAAAAACCCCCCCTGAATTTTTGTACAAAAAGCCCTTGATTGTTTTCATCCCGTGTGCTTTTTTCCCCCCGACAATTCTCAGTGAAATTGATCTATGCAGACAATCAAGAATCAAGAACAAAATGACAGAATTGTGCAATATGCTCTTCTGGTGGTCTTTATATTTAGAAGTCTTTCCTTTTGTGAAAGTGGTGTTTATTATGTCATTATAATAAAATGAAAACTCATTTTTTTTGCATCTGTTTTCTTTATTGAAGCATTCTGGGTTTTTTTTCTTTTCATGGTTAAATGCTAAATTATGCCTTTTCATTGCTAAAGCAAGTCATTTAAATAGAATTACCATTAGCATTTGAGTAACTGAAATAATATAAAACACTGCAACCAGAAATGAGATGAAATCTACTTTAAAGATATTTCAATTTTTTAGCTGGAAGGAATTAAAGTGTTGATTGATTTGAAGCTCAGATTATGATTGATGCATACTGCAACCCTGAAAAGTATTAATTCCTATAATAGTAGGCAAGTTTTTAGGATGTAAAAAATAAGACAATCCTGCATCATTTTAAATCCTGTTCCACCTTAACAGGCATTTATAAATGGCAGGCATTATAGATGTTTACAGTTAAAGCCTAAAATGTGTTCAGCCTGGCCTGAATAATCTGAGAGTTTAAGATTAGGATGATGGCAAGAGGACTTTCCAATCTCAATGACCAGAAACTCACCTATGAGAAAAGATGTCAAGATAGCAGAGGAGAAAATCCAAAAAGCTTGTCAGTAATTCAGGTTAAGAAGCACTAATGTTTAAGTGTCAAGTGTTCCCACTTGTAACTGGGTAGGGTAGACAGACAATTTTTACTTAACATTAAAAGTAAAATAGATGGATTAGTGCTTTCAAATTGATCATTCTTGTACATTGTTTTATTATTTTGTCTGTTTAAATTGTTTAAGAATCAAACCTTGGGAATGAAGGAAAATTCCTTATATTTAAACCTGGCTGAGCTCTAAATCATGTTGTCTTGATTGTATACCACAACACTCTGTGAAAAAGGTGATAAATAAAAATACAAGAAAGAAACTGGTCAGTCAGGCATCAAGAGGTTAAACAAACACTGAAAGGTTGAGGAATGTCTGCCTAGAACTGTTTTGATTCTAAAGGTGAAACAATATCTTACTTGTTTTCCCCATATGAATTAAAGTGAGGAGTAATGAAACACAAAGTGAAATTTGTTTATATTTATTTCTATCTTCTAACGTTGTTAAAAAGTCTAGTTAAAACCTTTTTGAAATATGAATTGAAATGTTAATCTCCAAATTTGACAATCAAGCAAAAGAAATAAAGAAACCAATACAAATATGCTGGTGAAGAATCTCAGTCATCCAGGTCATAGTCATTCAAAAAATAAAAAATAAAAACAATCCACTGGACTTGGTTTCCAAGTTTGATGATGTTTCGCTTCCTATCCAGGAAACTTTTTCAATTCAAAATGTCCGAAATAGCGTTAAGTTTGAGGTTTTATTCAGTAGCCCATAAAACAAAAACAAGGTTTTGATGGGCTACTGTATAAAACCTCGAACTCAAGGCTACTCCAGACATTCTGAATTGAAAAAGCTTCCTGGATAACGTTTGTTAAAACCTTTCAGAATTTTTTTTTTCTTGATAATGCACTTTCCAAAGATAAAAAAAATAAAAGGAATAGACTATCTTCCTGCAGGCTGCTATCTAGGGATACACCTAGAGTGGGGACCAGGAGTTTCTATCAGTCTCAGATAGATCTATCTCAGATAGATAGATAGATAGATAGATAGATAGATAGATAGATAGATAGATAGATAGATAGATAGATAGATAGATAGATAGATAGATAGAAGCAATTAAAAGAAATATAAAAGGCACTTCAGTTGTAATATTTATATTTCTCTCTGTGATGTGTAAATTCAACCACCAGGTGGCACTAAAGCACTGGACTGCTTTATGCATGACTTTAAAAAAACAGACGTAGAACTCGAATCTACAGTACTGCCGCACCTCCCCCTCCCGTTGGCTGTCTCCCTCCGCCCCTCTGCCACCGCCTGCTTGTCAAACCGAACCTCCTCCTCCGCTTACTGTCCCCTCCCAGCGGCTCTCACTCCCTTCGCCACTGCAGTGAAAGCCTCGGTTACGGAGAGAGACAGCGAGGAGAGCCTGAAAGCTGGGTACAAATCCAGGACTAGACCTCAGAAGAGGCACCACTACCGTGTTGTTGGTTTTTTTTTTTTGGTACCGTTCCCCCCCTCAGCTCGGCGGCCCGCTGACTCTTCCTGCTTCACCGCTTTTCCGTTCACATCGCCTGGATTTCATCATCCGACCCGCAAGATGGTAAGCAGCAGAAGCAACGGCTCCTATTTTCAGCCTCCGCCGACTGGTAAACACACCAGTTGGCGGGCCTGTGGTCTAATGTGTCGAAAAATGTGTCGTTTTCAGAGCTTCTTTTCCGCCATGAGTGTTTCGCTTTTAGTGAAACGGTCGAGAAACGTCGAGCTTTGGCGAGGAGGAAACGCTTTTCTTCCCCACCTTTGGCTCCAATACCCCAGGGCTCTGCTGACAGTAGCCTGCAGCTTGTGGCCCAGATATTTCTCATCCCTTCTCTACATAGCCCACGCTCTTATTAGCAGCCAGGGCCTCGTAAATTAGTTTTAGTGACAAAAATACACGCTTGTTAGATCTGGGTTAGCGGTTAATTCTGACCCACCTAGCAGGAAAATGCACCGACTACTCCTGTAGCCTTAATAATGACCGATATTTCTGTACATATAGGAAGCACGACTCGGTGTGTGGAGTTGCTGCATTGTATAATCACGCTGCATATGCTTTGAATGTTAAGCTGAAGGCGTTTTAAAATCAATTACGTTTTTTTTTTTTTTTTTTTGGAGGGGGGAAGCTGATACAGCAGGCCATAGCATTGCTACACTGCCACACACTGCCTTGTTGTAGTAACTATCAGGCGATCAATCTGCATACCTGAGCTCATTTGCATCATCTAAGGCAGGGGTCTTAAAACGTTTTCCAGGCCAAGGGCCCACAAACTGATGGCCCCCCTATTTGTAGATGGTGTTTGAAATTTTGTTAAACCAAACTGGTCCTATAGTCACTCTATTACAGATAGAATCCTGTAAAGAAAGTAATTTGGCCCTGGGATTATTAAGGTATTTCGGATTCTGATTCCTCATTGATGTGACAGGTGTTGTGAATGAAATGTGCCCTGCTTGAAAGATCAAATGTGTGTGTATTGATCATGGGCGGTTCTAGACGGGGCCCAACAGGGGCCAGTGTCCCTGTACTGAAGACATGATACTTAAAAGAAATTCTAATGATGATATGTGCTGGAACAGACATAGTTGCTGATAAGTTCTTTGGATCTATTTCATTTTTTTTTTCTTTACTAATTCTGTTTTACTAATTATTTAAAAACAATAAGGTGATAGTTTTAGTGCTAATGAGATAGGATCCCAGTTTTCATCTGCTAAATGTTTTTTTTTCTAAACAAGTTGCTCTAATTTTTACGGCTGAATTTATCAGTTTTTCTTGAGTTTTAATTCAGAATTTACAGAAACCTGTCATTTTAACTTGAATTAAGTCAAAAATATGTAAAATTATGAATGCATATGGACCTAATAAGAAATAGAATTTTAATTAAACCTAATTGAATATAAATTTCACTTCATGCAGCTATCTCAATATATTTAAATCCCTTGCCCAGTTTTTTTTTTATTTTTTTATATCATGCTTTTCTGTTCCCCCATGAAAACACATTGGCCCCCTCCTGACCCCCTTGAACATTTGGTCTAGAACCGCCACTGGCATTGATGACTGAAAGACATCTTCTGCCTCCATTTATCTTTTTATAACAGTTTGTTGAATTCATGTTAATGTGTATTCAAAGACATTTCAATTAGTGAAAAATTTTGGGTGTGGGTATATAAAAACAAGTCTAATCAACCAAAACTTTCACGACCCCCATGCAGTACCTCCGTGGACCCTCTGTTGAAGACCTCCGATCTAATGCATCGTGATCCAGAGCGTAATAAAGATATGTCATTTTTTTAAAAACAAAAAGTGTAATTGTTTTCCCAACATGACGTCAACCCAAAAAATGCTGCAAGATATTTAAAAGACGATAATGACTGTGTAATAATGTGTAAATAAGGAGATTGCTTATTTAAAAAATGGTTTTGAATTGAATGTAGGCCAAAAGAAATGGTCTAACTGATAATTGCGATCAGGTAGGGCACAGGACATTTAGTTTTTAATTAATTTATCTGCAGGAGTTTTTTTAGGTTAGGTACCAAATATTTTTTAATTGGCTCAAATCTCACATAGTCATGTCAAATACATACATGTGTTTTTTTTTCTTCCTCTATTCATTAAATGTCTTAAAAATAAGAACACAACATTTGGTTGGTATATAAAAAACAATCACACAGGTTAAAAAGTGACAGGTTTGGAGTATGAGCTTTCATATAATTGTTAAACAATTCTAAGATTAATAATTCCTTTAGCTCCTTCTGGAAAGTAGCTCAATATAATTGAACTTTATTGATCTTACATTGGAGAACTTTACCTCTGTGGGTTGCCATTGTGGGGCCCCCAGGGAGCAGTGTGGGGTTAATGGTCTTGCTCATGGAGCCAGAGTGAAAGTCTGTGGGAGTGGGACTTGAACTCAGAACCTTAGGATTCCAAACTCTATGCTCTAACCACTAGGCCACCACTGCCCACAGGTTACCCAAGTCAAACCGGCGGGTTCCTGATACAACCTTTTCATTTCTGATACAGTACTGCTTTACAGCTTTGAATATTTAAAGATAACAGAATCATTCATATTTTTATTGCTTATATTTTAGTGAATAATAATAGAAAATGTTTGATCAAGTGATCTTTCTCAAACAGAGAACAGTAGTCAACAACATTAGGTATGAGAAACAACGGACCCTTTTCTTATTAGCAGAAAATGACAAACTTTAAACAAAAGTGGATAGAAGCAAATTGATTCAATGAGTGTTCTAATATAGTAGATTTTAAAGGCATGTTGATATATTCCACTATTAATTTTTCGGCTGATATTTGATCAATTTCCAATGACAATATTGGATCAGCCCTAGTTTATAGTTCATTTTTCATTTATAAACCTTTTATCTGGCATCTAGATCATCTAAGAGAGAGTCAAATACTGCGCTACAAAAGTATTTAATTTTGACCGAATCATATTCAATTAAAGACATTTGGTTTTATCACACATTTCAAAAATAACATCAACTAACATTTCAATAAAATCTGTTTATAGTAAAATAACTGAGTCTATGTTTGGGGGATTTTAAGAATAAATATTCCAAAGTTTTTTTTAGATGTCAGCCTCAGGTCTGTCTCATTCATCTGTTTATTCTTCCTGCTAAAATATTTCCCAGTTTAACTGTAAATGTTTCACCGAGCAGCCGCAGAAAACGCAGTAAGATTTTTACACTGTTGATGTGTCGACCTTGTTCGTATTTTCATGGCTTTTACAGAAACTATCCGCGGTTGAGGTTAGCGATCTCATCATTTGTGATGATGTTGAGAAATAAGGTGTAGAAAAAATTGTCACCTTCCTCTTTCTCAAACATACCTGCCCTGAAGGTTGCACCATGGGAGAACTACCTTTTGCTCAGATTGTATTTAACTTGCCGGCAGATAAAGAGATGTTAATGTCCCACCCACTTCCTGTAGTGCATGGCAGTTATAAATAATTTTATTAGGTCTGTAGATATGATGCTGCGTCCACGGTTGTTTGTTGACATCGTTGACTATGTTGATGAACTACCTGTGCTGAGGTGTTATTGGTGGTTTATGACTCCACCTCCCTTTGGCATAAAGCTTCTGCCAAATCTTCCCTTCATTTGATAAAAGTAAATACCTGTACTATTTTTTGTTTTTTTTTTGTTTTACTTTGGTGAAACTTAATTCCTCCACATTTCCTTTGCTATCTCATTTATCAGCATTTGCAGATTGAAATTATTTCATTTTCTGGGTTTGTTAATGCGCTGCTCTAATGCCTTCGAGGCAATCGATGTGCCTGTTAGGCGTGGTTAGCACATTATTTTAAAAGGTGAATCAGCCAGGGGATACCCTGGATGCTCTGAGAAGATCCTCTGGTGTGAGTGGCAGATGCTAGTGTGACTAATGCGGAGTTCATTTTCTTTTTATGTTTATTTATTTTTTTGATAAGATAAAAAATGTTGTTGTAAGTAACTCTTAAACTAAGGGATTCTGCAGAATGTGATTGACTCCAGGCAGTGGATTAGTCAGCAGGTGATCTGATTCATATCTCGACTTTGCTCTTTTATGACAGCGGTGGTGACATAATGCTCTTAGATCCCTCTGATAAGCCGTCTCTGAACTTGTCCTGCTTTGCTTCCGTTTAAGAATAAATGTCCTGTACTGTTAGGAAATAGTCCCAGGGTCGGTCACTAGGCCAGGAGAGAGAAAGCAGCCTGGAACATGTGCCTAAAATCAGTGACCTAGTTATGCTGGCAGCATGAATTTTGATTGCTGTGTGTAAACACTGATTGGTTGCTCTGTTAAAGAACCATTGAAGGAACTCTTTTCATACACATAATTTGAAAACAGCATAAGCTTCAGTCCTCTTTCTCAAGTTTCAGATTGGATCCAATCAAGCTGAAGGTGTACAGCCAATATATAAACCTGTTATGCTTGTATTGCTTTCCAGAAAAGGGGCCAAGTCATGAACTCTGCCTTTGAAAAAACACCAAAAGCCATATGTTTGTGTTAAATACAGCCGTACACACCAAGCATGATGGTGTCCTTGGGTGTTTTTGAGCCTGGAAAGCATTTCAACAGACATAAACATTATTGTACGCCGTTGCCATCAGCAGGCAGTGCTTACTCCCACACCTTTCAACTTTGCCTTTAGCTCCTGCTTCAGTGAACACCCACTTTGAGATTTGATTCCGAGCGTCAGTCGTCTTACCTCTCTTTATGTCTGATTTGATTTATTTCCTCTTTCTTGTTAGACCACTGTAGCAACACGGACTTGCATGGCTCTATTACTTCCAATATTGATATCGTATCGCCAGTCATTTTGTGTCTTTTTTGGTGGATACAGAAAAACGCTTAAGTTCACCAAAAAAATGGAACAAAAGTGAAGTGTAAAACACAGATACACTTTCGTCATTTAATTGGAAAACCTTTGTGTGCAACCAGAGTGAGCTACTGGTGTAGGAATTCATGAAGTCACGGGTGATGACTGGGCTTCTCTTAAAGAAGGTAGAAGTCCCACCGATTCACTTGGAAGAGAAGATGAGAATATCTCCATGGAATCTTGAGCT